GATAGCATATTCCGGTCAGGCCTGGCACTAGAGGTCGGGGCAGCCAGGACAGGCCAATAGGACCTGCAGACATTATCTTCGCGGAGATATATATTATCTCTGAAGAGCCTGGGCTAAGCTCCGAAGAGATAATGCACACTGATATGGCGACATTTCGTCAATGCACAGTTGTTCATAGTTGTTCCCAATGCCGTTGCTGTATCAACGTATGTATTGTAGTAGTAGCCTGTATTTCCAGACCCATTGCACACTAGGCCCAAGTAACACAGGATAACCAGACCCCAGGATGCCAGACCCATAGCCTAGTGTGCTATGGGTCTGGCATCCAGGCTAGTATTGTAGTCACTTATTGCTGTGTTAAGCCCTGAGTGCGACCTGAAAAGCAGGTTGCAAGACTCGGACGCATGAACTGCTGATACGATCAAGTGAAAATCTCCCACTGAAAGCCTGTCTAAGAACAAATGGAAGAGATATACATCTACCCGTCTTATGCACAAAGGTGATCTGGTGATCTTCAGTGATTACGTACGATGTTTTGATGCTTTCCTAATTTGTTTTCGTTTTTAGTGTTATTTGTTTTAGTAGGATCTCCATTAGTTTAAGTCTATAGGTACACATTTTCTCCTGACAGACGCACTGCTATACTGAAGTTTTCTGCATAAATCATATACTTGACAACACTTCTGATGCAAATTACGATAACATCTCTTGAATACCCCGTGCTTTGAATAATAAAAGAGGAAAATTCGCTCACGTCAAACGTTTTCTAAGCATTGATGATAATGTATGACTTACAAGTCAACACCCGAAACTTCTCAGTGTAAATGTCTTCACCTTAACGTGTTGTTTGTATGATGCACATCCTTAGATCTGAAGACACTTCTTAAGGACACTCCTACGCCTTAAGATCCCTTAAGTCAACCCATCCTTCGTTAGCAAGTCGTGTCGGTCTCCGGATGACCCTAATTCCTGACATACGGGACATGCGGGATTTGTATCGACTTTTAAAACAGTTTCTCGTGCTTCTAATCATCCCACGCTACATACGTCAGCGAGCGACCTCAGAGGACGACACAATTACACTTTTGCAAGTTTGCTCACGATCCAGAACCTTGTTAGTAGTACGCTGAGCGCATGCATCTTAGGGTTTATGTAGTATATGTAGAACTCCTGCTTGTTATCATGTAGGCCATGCTCCATATGTATAATATCACCTTTATGAAATAGTATAGTGTCAGTTTCGATACATAGAAGTTATATGCATTACTGTAGACGTTAGAGTAGATATCAGCTAGATATGTAGTAACTATGAAGAGAGCTTGTCATACATTGTACCTGTTACAATCGTTGTACAATTAAGTTTGACTTTGTATTCGCACGCATCTAGTAAAAGAAAGCCGGAGTGCATATGGTAAGCAAAGTAGAGTCTTAACGTTTGTTGCTCTACGCTCTTTAACTTAAAGAGAGACCGCGACACATGTGTTCCACACCTAAATATAGAAACACAAAGTCAGCTAAAGCCTGGTTTAAATATCAACGTAAACATCTTAGACGTAAGAATTCGAATCTTCAAGGAAATTCAGTCCAAGAGACATAAATCAACTAGTATCTGGCTCTCATCAAGCTGGTGTCTTACAATGAGAACTGACAGTCGGAGAGTTAGGTGTCGCAGCAGGATAGCACAAACAGGAAAGGGTAGAGAATAACATCGAGAAAAAATACATTACAGTAAACAACGATGAGCTAAAGTCTAAGAGTTAGTTGTCATGGCAGGGTAGCAGGAAAGGTACAGAATAATATCACGAAACAAAGCAACAACATGAGGAAACCATCTTATTCCCCCATACCTTAAGCTTCCCAAGCATCTGTATACCATGTACAGAGCTGATAAAGACATTATAGTAAACAACAACGATAAGCTAAATGTGCAGCAATGTATGGATGAATTAAAGACGTCCTTACCTTTACAATTAGTACCATATAACCGCGATGCTTACACATGGTGTAATCTTTGCGCATTTATAGCTGGTAATATAGGAGTATGTTTTCAAATGACCACGGGTTTGTTGGGGGATTCTGTGCCCTTTTTGCGTAATTATTATTGATTATTCAGGATATCAAGGCTAGAACTCTTACGCAAGCAAAACAAACTTTGTGCCATCCTTTGCCAACCTTTTTGACATCCAAAAAATTGTCTTCATTTTATTTGCATATCAATGAACAGTTTGTGCTTATAAACCTGCTTTTTCCTCTGGCTAAGCCAGTCACTGATGAAAGCTAGTGGATACTAGCTGAAACGTCTGACGTGCCAAAATCATATCCAGTTGCTTGAGTAACTGCTTTTTGGTGTAAAACCAACTTTGTTTTGTGAGCTAGCTTGGGCATATTTCAACAGAGGATGTTATCTCTTCTTTATTTAATACAGTCTTCT